GTAGAGCTTCCACGCACGAGAACACCTTGCCCATTGTAGCGGGAATAAACTTCTTTTCTTTTTGGTCTTTTTCCCTTGATTGCCTTTGGAATTCCTTCTGTATTCTTTCGCAAGGTACCTATCAAGTTCGTGCGCCTTTTCAAACGTTTTTCAGCCAGTGTAATGTTGGTGTAGAAGTTATCCGTACACAAAGTACGTCCCTCATCCATGAATTCTTCCATGAGCTCCATGACAGCTGTGCCCGCAACAGTGCACATTCTTGAACGGTCTCTTCCTGCATATACCTTCACTTTGGCTGTGTATCCGCCTTGCCGACATATTTTATACAGCTTGAAACCGTAGCTATGCTTTTTGGACGGTACGTACTGCCTGAAGGAAATTCGCCCCCTGAATGGTACCACGGTTTCGTCTATGCAGACGTCGCTGCCGATAGAAAAAGCGCTCATAGCTGTCGCGTTGAAAAGGCTTAAGTTTCCGGATTTTGTGCGGGTTGTCCCTATCGAATTCGTCGTTGTTGGCAACGTGGAGGGAACGAAGAAGCTCTTCGAGCCTTGTCCTAACCATAAAAAGAGCGACATGCGAATGACCACCTAGAGCTGGTCGCTGGCTCCAGTAATCATGCAGTCGTGGTAGTCTGACGATTCCCATTTGAAGGCAGATTTCGAAGAATTTCCTCATTTCGTTCTCCGTCGTATCTTGGAAGTCCGATCCAAATTTCTCCTCTCTCCGCTGGTCATCTCTGTTCGTTTCGGTGACAATGAGCTCCATCATTTCAGCATCAAGAAACAGATTGTAGAGGACGACAGGATGGCTGCAACTAAAAACGTAGACGGCTGGTCTATATTTTCCTGAGAAAATCCATCGGTCATGAGTTGATGTAGTTGTTGACCAGGACATTTCAGGTTCATCACCAGATTTCGATTCACTTTCAAAGTCAGGATCCTCGTCTTGTAGTTGAGATTCGTCTGCGGTCTCATACAGATGTCCTTCGCTTTGTTCATCAGATTCGATCAGCAGTTGGTGAAACTGTTCCTTAGATCGTTCTTGTGACGTATTCATGATCGTTAGGGACAGGAGTAGCCTGACTGATCAATCTCCTGACGTAGTCGCCACAGCAGAGTATTTCCTAAAACCACATATCCTCTTTAACACTTTGAAGCCCGCGCAGGTTTCGGCAGCCGAGGCCACGAGGGACCGCGGCGCTCGTTTGAACGCAGCGACTGCAGCCCACATATGGGCAGCATAAAAACGAAAAAGAAACCGAAAAAATGATCAAATCTAATGAAAAGGAAAGGCAATCAACGAAAAATATTGCGTCATATCGATTGGCGGGGAGGCGGGGTTAGTACACTAACTGCAGTAACATTTACCGCATGCCGCAAGGGAGAATGCAGCAATCGGGAAGAAGTTCCGTTTTCCGTTTGTGCGTCGCGGAATCCGATTTTAGCTGAGAAACGCCTGAAGAGGTTGGGCCAAGTACGGGATGGGTTGGAGTCTAGGCCAAGATCAATAGACAGAGCGCGTATCAGGCTTCCAGGGCTCGGTCCATAAGGGGAGCGACAAGCGCTGTCGCGGGCGAGGCCAAGGGGCCAGCGTCTTATCTCGGTTTCAAAAAGGCACCGACACCGGAAAAAAAGATCAAGGTGAGGAATGGGCCAACAAATCAGATTAAGAAGCCCCACCTGCTGTGGGCCGAACGTGAGGTACCTTCCATATGAATTCGTTCTTATAAATCCATATCCAGAGGCTACTGAACAAATGAGGTCAAATCTCCAAAGTGGGCAGGGCATGCACCACAAGGGGCGGTGATAGGATCGATTATTTAACAATGTTCTGAATTGTTTTAGAATGCGATCAAAAAGGGTTGGAGTTTGTTGAAAAGTCCTTACTACCGTACCCAAGGGCTATTTATATATGAACCACAAATGTCCGTGCGTCCGTCGGTCTGTTTGTCTCTTGATGTGTTTGTCACCCCCTTATATGGTGCCCACGCTTTTATTGAAGTGAAACAGACTATCCATATTGAAAAAAAGTGGGGAATGAGTAGAGCTACTCAGGAACACATGATCTGAGCTAGGCTCCGCTCACGGAGGATGTGGCGTGCGATAAGAGCGGTTTCAACGGGAGTACATAATTCCTGTTCTCCGGTACCTTAACCGTGCTAGTTTGGTGGGAATTCAAACGGCAGGATGGAAACTCTGAGAGCAGGTGGCAAACTAGACTGTACTCTAAAGGGAAGAGGCGTGCACGAAAATTGTCAAGTTGGACCTAGATTACACAGATTCGGTAGGTGTACACGAAACCCGCTTTAAAGTTCAAGTTTGAAGGGATACAGACGGCACTGTGCGATTATTGATGGCAAGAGCCAGGTGTAGATCCCACCTACTGTGGGCTCGGCATGCGCGAAAATTGTTCCCTTGGAGTTAGGGCGCCCAAACTTAGAAAGGAAAGAGACGACAGGAGTAGACTACGTGGGGAATGTAGAGCCCAGAGCCAGCAATCCTGTTCAGAAACTTCATACATTATGCACCATCAACCCACAACTTGACTCTTAGCAGGGTATTCGTGTGGTAGGATTTACGCTGTGGGGAAGTCGGCCGGTACACCGATTTGCTATACCTGTCGTGGAATAACCGATCAGTGGCCAATTTGTTCCTCTGAGAGACAAGACGTTGAAGAGACATCGAAAGAAAATAGCTGTAAACGTAGCGATCGATATTGGCAACCTATATTGACCACTCTCGATTTGTATGGGTGTACGTCGTTTGGCGCGGCCCCTCACACCCAACTTGCAATTGGGGCGCATAGGTTCGTTAATGTCTACTTGGCGCCGCCCATTCGACTCGGTTTGTGAGCTGGGCAGCTCGTCCAGCTGATTCAACCTTCTAACAGTGCTAGTCAGCCTACTCACTGCCCATCCAGCTGATACACGCCCGATCGATGACGCCGCTACAGTTAGACACCGAGTTGCGGACCTACCTGCATTCAGTCTATTTCTACTGCATATTTAGCTATTTTTTCGCCCTTTCTTTACTTCTCGAGGTTCTTGAACCCTTTTTAATTGAATACTGCTAAGATACAATGGAGTGGAAGTATCATGGTCGTTTTGCAGCATGATACTTACCACTTCAAAGTAATTTGCAGTTCACATGTATGTCGGACTGATTGTGTGTTTTATTTCTTCTTTGAAAAACAGTTGCTTATCATAATATTTATTTCCATCATTTACTTTATTGTCATGCACATTATTAACTAGTCTTTTCAGATACATATCTCGACATCTATTTACAATATTCTTCTATTTCGGCTCTCGTGACTGCTCTAAGGTACCGCTGTCCGAACCTAAATGATGCTAGCAATGTTGTAGGTGCTCTTCTTTAAAGCCTTGGCCAAGATGATACAACGTTTATTGGCTGACGTTTCGGCCAGTCGCCCTCTTCAGAGCCTGGAAGTCAAAAAATATTTGGGATTCATTCTGATCAAGCGACTTAAGATTTCAGCTTAATTCCAGTATGACCTATAGATATCTAGAAAAGTCTCGTAAAACACAACAGGTAACCCACCTTAGATGTAGAGAGAAGACCGTTAACCCCTCTATTTTAAACGGGCTATTTAAACCTTTTCGCGGTGGGTGGGCCCGTGTCCTGACCCCTGGCCTGTCGCAAGGGGTAAATTAAAACCACAGATCGAAGAACGGAGCAAGCTCGTTAGTCACCGCGAGACATTCATCTAGTGTCTAATGCTAGCAATGCTATACTATAATCGGGACGATTACATTAATAACATATGTTGTGAAGAAAGATGAAATGAAAATCACGCTTGAAGTTTTGAAACGCTTACCACACGATAAACTGCATATCAATAGTAAATGATGGAAATAAATATTATGATAAACAAGAATTTTCAAGGAGAAACAATAAAACACCACACTATCAGTCCGTCATACATATGCACTGCAAATTACTTTGAAGCGGTATCAGGCTCCAAAACGACCATGATACTTAAACTCCATTGTAACTGAGCAGTATTCATTTGAAAAGGATTCAAAAGTCTCGAGAAGCAAAAAACGGCGAAAAATAGCTAAATGTGCAATAAAAATAGACAGAATGCAGGTAGGTCCGCAATTCGGTGTATAATTAGAGCGGCGTCACCGATCGTGCGTGTATCAGCTGGATTGGCAGTGGGTAGGCTGACTAGCGTTGTCAGGAGGTTGGATCAGCTAAACGAGTTGCCCAGCTAACAAACCGAGTCGAATGGGCGGCACCAAGGAGGCAATTACGAGCCCATGCGCCTCAAAGGTAGAGTGGCTGCGAAGGGCCGCGCCAAACGACCGCCTCGCGATATGTACTGCTCGATATGGAGCAATATCTCACAACCTTTTTTTCGAGAAGAAAAAGCTAAGGAGTGATGATAGTACTGCGTGTGTGTAACGGTGTGCGGGTCGGTGCATCTTTGACTGGAAACTCACAACACCTTTTCCCGTGGAACTTCAGCGTTCAAATTCGGTAGGAGTACAGACAGCAGAATGGAAACACTGATAACAGGTGGCACACTAGACTCGCCCCGAAGGGGAGACAATTTGGACCTAGATCGCACAGATCCGATTGGTGTACAGACAGCAGTACGGGAATGCTGATGGCAGGGGACACGACTGGAAATTAAAGCGAGAAAAAACAAAGTTAAACGAGCGCAAGTTAGTCAAAAGTGCGTGTGTTTGGCCGGAAATTTATAATTCTTGTTCTCCTGCACCGAAGCGTCCAAAATTGGGAGGGTGCGGGCAGCAGGCCAACTTTAAACGGAAAGGAGGATCGCCCGGCGTCAGCCGTGTAAAGTTGGCTTGCTGCCCACACCCTACACACTCGGAAGGAGAGGACGGTAGGTTCGTTCGGTGTGTGAGCGGGCAATGGAACGGTCTGCGACTGAAAATACAAAAATCAGGGACACGCGTTCACATAATTTCTAGAGGTTTACCAACAGCTGCAACGTTTTTGGTCAAAGTTTTATGCGAACGAGACACTCCTGGGGTCCCACTCACCAGATCTTCCGCAATCATGACAAACCACGAGATCCTCAGCTTTCTTCGTCTTCTTGTTCATGTGTTTGCTGCCAAGACACAAATCACAGATCGAAGATGTTTCAAGATGAGAGGAGATTTCTGAAACGTTAAAATCTCATTGTTCGCTAACAAAATTTGGAAAATAGCAAGGATATCAATCAGAAAAGATCAGCTAATAAATTTAGAAAATATCAGAAAAAATCATATCAAGGCGTCAATCATTCCTACCTACGTTAACACCAAAAGGTAAAGGTATGTGGTGTTGAAAAGCTTTGTGATAAGCTAAGCCCGCAAGACTCTTGTAGGACGCTGTGCACACTGAAAAAGGCATACGATAGATAAGGATTTATAGTACAATAAAAAACAGAAGCAGTCAGTCGCGACCGGCAACCGTGCAGCAGGCCGTGGGACGCCGAGTGGGCGGGACGCGGCGCTTCAACGCGGATTGCCGGGCGCTTGGCTCGCCACTCACATTTGCAGAGGTAATTCATTGCATCTTCCGCCGCGTCCTGCGCCGCACTCGCTGCCGCGGCGCTACTTCGCCCCCCTTTCGAGGAGTCACTCGCCTTCTTCTTGTTTTTTGAGCTGCTTCCGCCACCGGACGAACTGCTATGAGCTTTGCGACTTTTGCGCTTCGAACCCCAATCCTCTTCATCACTGCCACCATCATCATTTGATGCGTCATCATCTCCTTCCTCAGTGTAATCCTAATGTTATGACAATAATGAAACGACGACGAAATTAAAGGAGAGAAGCAATGATAAAAGGGAAAAACTCACAAAGAGGCCCTTCGGAGTTCCTTTTCCTTGTCCATAATCAAACAGAGAATCATTTGACTCTAAAACGAGAATTCCTCAAGTTGTCACGCAACAATAGTAGTTACCATGCCAAGTTAGTGCTTAAAATGGTAGAGCTTTTTGGTATGATTATAAAAGGAAAACTTTTATGTACGATATTGCTAGCATTACGCTTAGATCCAGTCAATGAACGTAATGATAGGCAGCTGGAGAGACAGAACAAGCTTCATTATGAGTCGCAGTGTGCTGATGTACGTACAACCTTTGAAGAAAGATCAGTGTAGTGATTTTGCTTGGATATCATCTACCCCTATTCATGGAAACACATAATGTAAGGCAAGTATACACAATAAAGGAAACGCAAGTGAAATGACGTGCACTGTAGACTTGCACTGTGTTTTAATATGCACAAAATTTCTCGGTGCACCAAGTTAACCTTCGGTAGGAAGGCTCTTGCTACAGTAAGCACTGACTTTAACAACGAAGGAACACACAGTGACTATACAGAAGACATAAAACAAAAAATGATGTTGACCCCAGCCTGCACTTAATTGGGACCGTGCTCGCAGCACCCGATCGCGCGCTCTGAAGATTATTTGAATCCCCAGTGGAAGGTTATGGTAATCGCAACGGAGTGTTGTCTGGTATTCCTCACAATGGACCGATGGGAGACAAAAGAATACAACTATCTCTACAGCGACGGCCAATAGTCCAGCAAGAGTCAATAGAAGGTTTGGATAAGCTGCATATTTCACATATCCACAAGTAGCCAGAACTGGGCTCGCAAGGCACTTCATTTTTGATATCCATATTCAAATTATATATTACCCATTGCTCAGCAATCAGCTAGGAGAGCAACACAAAAAGTGAGTTAGAGAGAGCTGTATCGCTTCCAAGCACGTGAAAGTGCTTGCTGTGGCCAATAAAGACTTTCCTGTACTATCGTTCTATTGCCAACACCTAAAAACGGAGTTCGCGAAAGAGCCTATACATACCGCTTCTCTCCAGAAAAATAAGTTCCAAAACAGGACGAAGCGAGTGGATGGAATCAAGCGCTTTGAGCCGTGTGAGGGCAACGCTCTGTCTCGAGCTCCCGCGTTTCTCCATGCCCCACCCCTCTCATGGCTTCCTTTTGGATGGAGCAGGGATCAAGCGACACCTTCAGGACGGTAAGAGCGCCCCAAGAGACGTGTCTACGAGTGTTATGCGCTATCGGGAGGATGTTTTGCAATTACAAAATTGACAAGCGCGCGAAAAGGAATTCCAAACCGTCAATCTCACGATTTGTTCAAATCAACCTATTTACAGTAAAGTGCGGAGTAAAAACCACATTGCTGAACAAACAGCACCGGCCCACCTCTTCCGAAGCTATGAAGTGCAGTATACTGCCACATGAAATTATGAAATACTGTACGTAGACACATGGGTCATTCCTGTAGTTACATATTCTAATCTGTGTAAGATCCCGAAGATTAGAGCAATTCAACAAGAGTAAATGTTGCGTTTATAAGGTCAACCTCATACTTCAGATAGCTTATGACTCTATGAGAAATCAGCTCATCTTATTTACTTCATTTCGTACACTGTTACATCTTCAGAACCTCGATAAACAATTCAACTACCCATGATTTCAAGGTGTACCTTGCCGGTCCCATTTAGCTATTTAAGCTCAATTGCAGTTGTATATCCCGAATAACGAAGATAAAAAGAGAAATTTCGCCAGTCTAGCGTGGGATTCTCATTTGATTAATCAAACGATTACTGTATCCGGAGCTCGCCTCATGTTGAAAAGACTGCGACAGACAACCCACGAGAGGGTAAACGATAGGAAGACCATAAGACGGAGTACAGGACTGCATTACTCGACTGAAGTAAATTACACTTCTAGTAGAATGTTAGAAGCCTCGTTAGATTTTAGTCTTGTCAGATTCGACCAAAAACCTGAAGAATACCATATAATATTGAAGATAAGATCCGACTTCATATCATTGTTCCATGACCACGCTGAGATCAGATCACCATTACGTGTATGTCCATAAGGATTTTAACTATCTCAGATCCGATTAGGAGCCATAAATGTGCACTTAATGGCTCTCCCCATCGAGTTCATGGTTCATTTTAGTTTAGCTAAGTTACTAATTGTAACGCAGCCCCCATATCAGAGTCTGGCAAGCAACCCGTGGGGTCCCATATGCCGAAAACAGTGACACAACTGAGCCTCATTCCACTGCACCTGAGAAGGTCCCCAATACGGCGACGTTGATTATGATAGCTCGGGCATTGCTGCTAAAATCAAAGGCCCAAAACAGGTTGCTCAAGTGGAGGACTAAAATGGAGATCTGTACTTTCAATGCAATGTTTGTATCGCGAGCGTGTATAAGCTAGAAAGATCATGTACAACATAATCGGATTTACTGGGACGACAAGGCATCGCTCGTTGCACTTTTTTAGACTAGAGAAGAGCTGTTTCTCGGAACACGCGACAGCAGGCGACGGTGTAGGTGTTCCTGTTTACACGCATTGAGCCATCTACTCGTACGAAAGCTTGACAACCCGAATGGGACGTTTGCGATTAGGAAGATGTGGCTCACCTCAGTTCTAATAATCCTCTTTGCCTACGCAGCAAAATCTAGTTACGGAGATGAGGAGCTGGAAGTTTTGCTATGATCTGAAAAAACTCTTCGAAGTTTGCCTTTCTTCAAGATCACCGTCAGTGATTTCGACGCCAGCGTGGCTCCAGAAAAAGGGCTGAAGAGCTACATATCGGGACTCACGGAACGGAATTTAATTACCAGGGTGAAAGTCTGTCCGGATTCATCACGTCGACCCGCACTATCGATGGTAACTCACAGTTATAAAAGGCCTCTCATTCCCGATCGACACGGGAGTCACTTGTGGACAGTGCCATCCTACTTATATAATCGGCTAAGTGTGTCTGTTGTTGTGTTTGTGTGTTTGTGTGTATGTATGTGTGTCTGACCGGAAATTCATAATTTCTGTCCCCGTGGACCTAGAAAGTTCAAACTTGGTAGGAGTACTGAAGACAGGACGGGAACTCTTATGGTGGGTGGCAGAACCGGACTTCGCCCATAGGGGCGGGGTCTGTGCGAAAAAATGTTTGAGGGGAAAATCGCAACTTCTGTCCCCATGGACCCACAAGTTTAAAGTTGGAAGTATCGGCAAAGGGATGAAGACACTCATGAAGGGTAGCAAAACCAGACTTCGCCCACATTGGGCGGGGTTTGAACAGAAATTAATAACTCCTGTCCCGTGGGCCTAGAATGTTCAAATTTCGGAGTACATGCGGCAGGATGTGGACAGTTACAGTGGGTAGCAGGACCGACTCCGCCCACAGGGGGCGGGGTTTGCACGAAAATTGTCGATTTGGTCCCAGGGCGTTCAAACTTGGTAGGATTGCTGGAAACATGATGAGAACACTTACGGAGGGAGGCAGGACCGGACCCCGCCCACAGAGGGGAGGGGTTGCGCGAAAATTGACAATGTGGCCCTAGGGCGTTCAAAGTATTCCAATTGCACGGAAATTTCACGGAGGTACGCTTCCTTAGCCCATCTGCCTTTTTCCTCTGAATAATCGCCTTTGTGATACTATACGATGTTCTATCCGGACACAGCGAAGATGGCTTACAGAAAAAACCGCTCCTGATTCGGAGATAATACTGAGGGTGTGGAGCTTTCGAAGAAAGAGGAGATTCCGAAGTGTTAATTACGCATAGCAAAATCCCCACAAGTAGGAGGAGCGCCCGGCTAACGCCGGGCGGCCCGACTGGTAATTGAATACTAGACCACATAATATTCAATCGAAACTTTTGCTTGACTGGAGTTGCTGTTGTTCCGAAGTTCTACATTAAATCGGACTATCGTCTCCTCTCCAGGCTATGTTTCTGTGCGTGTAGAGAGAGCTGTGAAGTTCAGGAAACGAAGCTCCAAGACAGTCATCAACTAGGACTCCTCTTTCGCTGCAAGTTTGTGGGGAGGTTCCGTTAACGACACCATCGATGAAGAATTTAAACGGCCAGGAGAACATCTTCACGATAGGCCTAGGAAAGGAAAGTCTACGAAATGATAAAAGAGCTTTCATTCGAACACTCTAATGATGGTACGCCAACCCTGAGACATGCAATTTGCAGTTAATCACCAACTGCCGTCCGATTTTAAGCTATGCAGAGAGGCGGTGAAGGAAGGAAAAAATAGGGAAGGGCAGGAGCTCAGGCTGAACCTGCCGACATTGGGGAAAGCATTCGCAAACCGCTGGAGTTTCGCCATTCATAACCAAGATTACATCCCTTCGTCGTCCTGGTGAAACAGTTACTGCATCTCTAAAGGGAAGGTTACTAGGTCGCAGTGGCCATCTCGGATGAGATGTATACCGCCGCGTTTCTGAGTGGGGATCGCAAATCAACTTTCCAACTCTGCTAAACAGAGTTGCGGGACCAATCCCTCCCTGTGTTTTAGCACTGAGTTGCCTATATAAGCGAACCGAGAAGGCTACCAATCGTGCAGCGAATACTCCTTGTTGTAACAATACCTGTTCTTTGACCAGAAATCAACCAGTACGTCTCGATCGACGTTTTTACAAATAAATAAAAAGAAAAGGGCTGTCGGAAAAATGAGTGCGGTTCGTGTAAACATATGATAGTATAACAAAGTTTTGAAGCAGAGGAGCTTCTCAAAATGGGATCAACGTATGGAAAAAAAATTCATCACACCCATCACTCTCACAATTCAAGTCTATACGAGGTGATGAACAACATTGTACAGGGTTTCGAACTCTCCCGGTTTTGCATCCAAGTAGTCTGCTGCAAACCACGAATAGGAGAGAAGACTTCAAAACTAGGTGGGCCAATCAAGAAATACACTAATTAGACAAAGCAAATTATGGAGTCGCGGTTTCTAACAAGGAAATCAAGATCGTGAGCGATAACATAAGACTCGATACCTTCCAAAAATGGCTTCAAATGTCAGGAACAAATATACATCGAGAGGTTGAATTTGGGATGCTGCTTCAGACGGAATGCTGAGCACTTTCATCGCCTTGCCAGCTGGCGAAAGTGCTCAGCATTCCGTCTGGAGCAGCATCCCAAATTGCTTCGATGAGCTCTATGAATCGACAATTAGTAGAGACGAGGGAACATCTGCTGATCCAACGCGGGTCCTGACTCAGTCCAGCATGACTCCTTGTCCCTGACTCCTCATCATTTGGGATGTACTTACCTTGACCTCCAAGTTCGGAGCGCGAAAGCAACCTATGCTGGGAATTGTCCTTTGGGTTCCTGTTAAAACAGAGTGATGAAGAACTTTACCCATTGTTTACTGAGAACACTAACCTGCATTACCGCATAAAGTTTCTTCGCCGAGTAACCATCAGCAGAGAGTGTCGGCATAACAGTTTAAGACTAGGCACTGCTTGAAGCGACCACCATTACCACTCTTCCGACAACCTTCTGACCCTTCAAAGTAAGAGGCCTCCCCTAGTGCAACTCCTTCACAAAACCGCTCTGATCCGCATTGCGTATTGTTTCCGGGGGCCGATTCTCCATTTCTGGGCAATTTAGAAACCCCTTAATGGGACTGCCAGGCTATCACACCGACTGCATGAAATAGAAATTCTGAATGACTTAAGACCTTTCTTCACCTTAAGGACAAATGATTCAACCTCACAAGATATGCGGTCTTCGTCGAGGAACACCTTTCTCGAGGTAAACGTGGTGATGCGGGCGGGACATTCTTCAGTGTTTTGGCTGCATTCCTTCTATAGCCTCTTAACCATTCACGTTTCACATTATAGAACGTTTTAAGTAGATTTATGAGCTTTCTTCAAAAGAACCTAACACCTGAATGCAAGCCCCCTTTCCTGGGCGGAGCTCTGCTATGCACGCAAGCCCAGCACCATTAGGCCCTGCTCAATCCTTTTATTTTTTTTCTAGCCTCCACGCCCTCTTCGGATGGAGTTGAGCCTGTGGGAAAATTACCGCCCACTGGAAGAACGCCCCGCCCACCACCGGTGGCTCCTTCGTTTTATTTGTTGACCCGTCCCTCTACTTTGCCTATTTTTCGGAGCGGAGCTTCGCTAAGCTCAAATGTGTCCTTTTGGTCTAGCCCTATCCCTACCCCTCCCAAATTTGATCCGACTTATGCAGGTGCTTCCCAAACTGATATCGAATTTCCGTACAATTGAACGAACAAACAAACAATCAGACGCAAGCACTTCACATATGATGAGCTCTCGTGTAGATTTCGCCTGAGCTTCAAATTTGGAAAAGCTTCACCTAGCTATGAATTATCAAAGTGGGAAGTTCTTTGGAGTGCGCATCTGTGAGCGAAATTCACATTCAAAACTAGAAATTTCGACTAGACTAGATTTCTATAAAATTCCGATTATATTTCTGTGGAAAATTATGCGTCTAATCTGAAAAATAGGTTGAATGCCATAAATGTTAAAATAGGTTAAGGTATTTCTGATGAAAATCCTTCGTGAGCAAAAGGTTATTTACCCACGAAGCCTAACCTCTCCTTCTCTCAGTTGGCTGCGAACGGATTGATGATTCGTCCATAGTATAGAGATGTAGCGCGGTAAATAGCCACGAGACAAAGTATAAGAATTAGGTGATATTCCCCAATTTGAATGATCTGTTGCCGCTTTGTAGGTATTAATCATTTGACACTGATAGATAAGAGTGGAATCCTTTCCATCCTAACTTCCTCTAGTTCCTAACCGGTTATGATTTTCATTCTGTGACTTCATAAATTGACTGGATATTGATTATTGGATCGATAACAGCAACGATTGGGTTAATGTTTTATATTAATTCCTCGCCGAACTTACGTGACATTTCACGTGAATCCACATCGTGCATACGTGACAAACAGGCACACAAAGTTAGCGCTTTATATATATACAAGGTGTCCCAAAATTATTGGCGCCGATTTCTAGCAATATATTTGAAAGTTCTCAGCTGCGAAAGACGATGGAATTTCTATGCACGCTAGCTAACGCTATGTGCTACAACATGCAACAGTCGCATTTCAAAATATCTCCCATGAGCGCGGATAGAAGACAAAGTCTGCCTTTGACTTGATCGCATGTAGCATGCAGGTATCCTTCTCCATTCCTTCCTAGCCTTTCTTCATCCATTGCATTCTAGGAATCCAAACTGGGAGTACGAACTCGGCAGGTCTTCTTCTAATCAGGGACCATTCGCGGGAGTCAAGTGAGGCAAGTTCTGGAAAATAAGATGACCATTCCTCTTCACCAATGAAGTCGGGCAGCTGTCGTCGGCACCACTCACGGGCAAGCTTGGCTCTGTGGGCTGGAGTAGTGTCCTGCTGGAAGGACCACGAGATGTTTCAGAAAACGTAGTTGGATCCGTGCTTCATTACTTCCATCAGTACGCTATTTGAGTACTGGTCTTGGTCAATTTCCACACCTGCACCGAAGAAACCACGCGCGTCTCACCCTTGTTAATGACTTCTTCGAAAAAGATCGTTTCACTGTTCTTATAGCAACCTTTTTGTGAGATATTACACGCTAGATGCTTCTTTTCGGAACGCGAACGTTTCTGTTGTTGAGGGATGGTTTTATCGTAAAAAATTTTTTGGTCAGAAAAAACGACGACTGCGTGTCATCACTCAGGTGGGTCTGCGACTTTCTGCATTTTTTGGCCCTGCAGTGTCTGTTGAGATCGTTATTGAAGCAAAAACTCTGCATCCGATAGGAATGGCAGTGAAGCTTCTGCATGACATTCTTCCATCGCGATAACTCCTGTAAGCGGTGCCCGTTGTATTCCTTTTGATGGTTCACCCAGGATCCCGACCGATTGGCAGACAGACCATTTTAATAGTCCTATCTCAAGAAACATTCTACATTTCTACCTTCCCTGGTTTGCCTCTGATTCAATCTTCTTTTCTATATCGTTTAATAGCCTTCTATACGGTTATTATGAAAATCCTAAGGAATTTCATAATGCCCTTCCACCTCTCGCGTGTCGATGATTGCAAGTGACATTGGATGAGCTCCTCTATCAGAAAGATATTGGGAGTTCCTCATCAGTAACCATGCATACTGCAAGGAAACTCCTTATGCAACTAATTAATAACAGATAATGTGAATTTGATGAATTATTTCTACCTTAGAAATTTCTGAATTTTGGCGCCAATAATTTTGGGACACCCTGTAGAGGATTACAGTAATTATGTGGGCGAAATCCAAAAACAGTGACTGTCGAGCTCATGCCAAGAACTGACGTCAAAAGAAATGCTAGTAGAACCTACGTGAAACTCACAATATTTCCGTATCATGAGCACACGGAAACTTTTTAAATAGAAGTGCTCCTCAATTGTTCATTCACAAATAAGCAAATAAATACTGCCTTGCACTTACCGATTTGATTTGTTGATGTTGTAGTATTAAGAGCTGCATCAAGGGCTGGATTATCACGAAGAAACATTTTCATTTCGATAGCATCCGATGAGTTTGTGGACTGCCGACGACGCCAGCGATGAGTCGTGTACTGCACAACGATGTTCGGATCAGTAGAGGTGACACGTTGAGCAGGGAAGCGGTAGAATACAGGATTAAAGCGATGAGCTGTTCCCGTCTGTTGATCGAAGAATGGGTAACGCATCCTAAATACACAATAGTTGTGTCGCCAATTTTACTACATGAATTCTATAATTCACGAAATTCGCAGTCACGATAGCCGGCTTTCTGTTCTGCCATTGGTCAGAACCCGCGGTCACCTCCGCTCCTTGAGGGCGGGGCTTAAGTAGGCATTCTCTTCTTTGTTTGACCAGCTATATGAATCTTTCTTGTGCACCATCCGCGATCAGGGTGTTTTACTGGTTTTGACAATAAATTTGTTCTACCACAGCTGTAATTTGCTCGTTTTTCAGAGAGACAAACAATTTCTCGGAACATACAAAAAGCGCCACCCGCCTATAAAAGACACCATATTTTTCGGTGCATCGGCTAAAGCCGTTATAAGGCCAGCAAATCGCCTGTCCTTGGGACTCAGTCAGCCCAAAAAACCGCAAACAACAGCTTTGCGAAGAAAAGCGTTATTGCGCTGTTGTTCGTTGAATTCCTAGACGAATTCAACAGACATATCGCATTTGATCGCTCAAAAGCAGCGAATTACTTGCTAATTCCACCGGACTTAGCTTATCTCTTCCTTATTGAAGGAGAATCGCTCGAAAGCAGCGTAGTTTGCTTGCTAAATCACAGCAAGCACATTATTGCTAATAAAACAGCAGCTCGACAGCAGCGAAGTAAGTAAAGGAAAAAAAAGTTGAGGTATCAATATGGTTCTACTTCTGCAAGGAACCAATTATTGATAGCACCACAGCAGCTACACTTCTAAGTAGATTGCCTTTTATATTTCGGAATTAGAAAACAAAACTAAATGAAATAAATGTTAGTGATTGAAAATCGTTTCATTGCCTTTACAAATTTTCCTCATTACGATTTGTACACTTTTGCATGCCCTCGAACCTATTTTTGAAGGATTTTGCCACTCTGATTGAGGTAACTCTAAAACATGCATTCTGAACGCATCAACGGCTTCTTCAGGTGTCGAAAAACGTTGACCTCTCATTTTATTTTTTACGTACGGGATGAGAAGAAGTCACCCGGGGACTACATGGCTAATGACCTGTCAAACCGTTTTTTTGAGTGCTCAAAAATGCAGTTGTTTGAGCCGATGTGTGGGAGCTCGCTCTGTCGTGGTGAAGAGGGAAGGATACTTGGTCGCAGTGGCCATTCAAGATAAGATGTATACCCCCGTAGGTGGTTTCGAACGCTGATTTCAAATCTGTGTTTCAAATCTGCTAAACGATTCTGGGAACAAAGTTACGGGACCAGTCCCTCCCTTTGTTATACCACTGCGATAAACGGATCACCGAGCCGCCTCTTACCTGTGCAATGGTGGCCTACCGGATAGTATGGTGGACTGGTAGAATAACATCAGGGTTCGACTCCTTGATGCGTGTGCTAGTTTTGCGCAAAACGTTCTTTGGTCTCAATATCGGACATCTAGGGGGCCAACTAACATTTTAGGATCACAGGAGAGGTATTACAGGGAAAGATTTTTTTGCCCCCCACCGGCCCGATAAGGTTGGAGCTCTACTCGAACGAGGAATTCTGAACAGTCGCTCGAAATGGACTTCAGAGGCTACAAGGGGAATGGTTCAAAGTGATTCATCGTATCAAACGCTCTTCAGCATGTTACCAACCAGTTATTCTGGCTGAAGGTGGTGCCATCGCATTGGATGGAAAACTTTCGTTCTTGTAACATAACGTGGGCGCCATCTTGGAAGAAGAAGTCATAAAGAGCTTTTGAACTGTGCTGCTCGATGCTATGAAGGCAGCCCGTTATCTATGCGAGGAAATCGAGTCCGTGAAAGGCGATCACAATGATCCTCTGCGGTCGCCTGATGATGACAGCGACGATGGATCCGCAACTACGCGTTTGAGTGTTATAAGCGTCGCTCTTCCTCTTACATAAAAAACACGTTTTGTATCATCACGACAGAGTACCTTGCACGGAAATTTAATGCAAGTATAGTATTGTAGTAGTAGTAGTAGTAGTAGTTCAATTCAACAATGAGCACCCATAGGGGACAATTCAA